AACACAATCATGATTGATTGGCCAACAGCTGAGAACTTTCCTGGGATTCTCCTGCAATTTTATCATATACGAAGACTTAACACAGAGCTGAGCCTCCACAGATGTAAAACTCATGAACAATAAACTCTAAATGGTCTCACCAGCATGCTCAACCGAAAAGCTTCACCTACCCAGCAGCTGACACATCCCGCAGTGAGTTGGGTTCTGAGGTACTCTGACCCTCAGGGCCAGCTCAATGCCAACACCATTGCCCTGGTTGCTGGCTTTCACCTCTCTCCCTCTCAGTGTGAATCTTTTAAGTACTGTGTGATATATGAATCACATGGGCTCTCATGGCACCATCAGCCATTCTAAAGTCTGATATTATGGTTTTTGTCCACTTCTCTGAGAAGACTTTCAGAAATGAGCTTAAAAATTCAAGAGGGGGCCCTTCCTGATGGCACAGCAGGTTAAAGCACAGCACTAAGAAGCTAAAGCCATTTTAGCATGAGTTTGATCCTGCCCCAGGGGTGACCCACATGGTGCGGCAGACCTCTCCTGACCTGCCCGCTGCTCCCCTCAGCAGTGTATTTCGCCAGTTGGCCTGTTCTGCTCCCCACTCTGTCTCTGGTGAGTCTTCTCACTGCCCCTGCACCTCTGACCTATACCCTAGTTTTGTATGCATAAACAATCTTTTAAAAAAAGTTCAAGAGGCACATTAATGTCTCTGGATAAGGAAGGTGGAAAAGATGATTATTTGAAAAAAGACTTACAATCTATTAACTTTAATTTAGCTCTTCAAAAAGTGATCACTTGAAAGCTAATAAAGAGTAGAAAGTGGAAAAGTTATGGGCAATACCTTGATAAGTTAACTGTTGGCAACAGATGATTCCCTACAAGGTTTCCTGACAGTCAAAGGATGTTAGACCTCTAGTCTTTTCTCTGAGAAACTTAATTTTATGGTAAGTCTTCTGGAGATTAGTAATAATAGAGAGTGAAAGAACTTTAACCTTGAGTAGGGTAGAGGTCCTGATTTGTATTTTATTATTTAAGACCAAAATAGACTCTTGATGTCTAAGTAATGATGTAGCTCTCAGAATGGTGGAAGAGCATAGAGAGAATTCAAAGTTTCAGAAAGGGTGAAAAAATACACTTTGCACTGCGTGATTCAGAGACTGAATGATGTCAAGCTCAGGCCCTTCTGGAGCACATGGGCTGGGACTAAACAGGGAAGGTGTTGAGAATTGTTCCGCTGGCTAATGGCGCAGTGCTGCCATCAACAAGTTCCACTGGAAAGAAAATTTAAATCAACAAAGAGATTCAGATAGTTAATTAGATGCCACAGTCCACAGTCCCAGCGACAGAAGAGTGGGCCTTTTGGGTAGGACAATGATTTTGTTTGACTTACCTACTTGATGGTAGAACTTAACAAATATTTTTACCTCTGCCCTCTAAGTACTTGGTTAGCTACCTCCCACTGCAATCTGAGTCAGTGTGATAACCCACCCCTAGGATAAATGTTGTAGTCCTTTAGAATCAGAATTATGCTAGGTGGTTACATTCCAGCATTCTTGACTGTTAGCTAAGTAATCAGATTCCCAGCTAATGTCTACACTTCACACATTCAGCTCTGTGTGTCCTTCAGTAATAGTTCTAGAGAGATGTGTGCTAACCCGGCTTCGTCCCTTCTGTTGCTGGGGGATGACAACAACTATAGTAGTCACCTTGGGCCAGACGTGGAAGAGCCATTGTGAAGATCCCTGAACCCCCTCAGACCACCTGGGCCACCTTCCTCTGGGCTTTTCTGTGAGTGAGAAGAAATGTCTTGTTTAAAGCACTGGATTTTGGAGTTATGTCCCAATGACATAACTCCTTACCAGTTATCAAGTTAAAACTCCTTACCAGTTATCAAGAAAAAGAGTCCTTTCGGGTCTCTGACATGAAAATGGAGCCCCCTCACTCTTGACAAGAACAAGCACAGGGAGTCCCAGAGCTAGGAGGCTCGCATCTGCCTTCTGCAGTTTGCAGAGGTGAATGGTCCCTGTCTCCTCAGGTACAGAAAGGGGGATCCTTTGTACCTTTTCTGTCTATCTAAAGAAAACAATCAGTTATAACTGACTAACCAAGAAAAACAGCATGAGACTAAGCCCACTTCAGAGTTAATGGACAAGAGGATGTCTGCAGGCTCTGGTGGAGAATGATAATTCCAAGAGGCATTAGGTCCCAAAATAGCTCAGCGCCTGCATCACAAATGGCTCGCTCTTCTCAGAAAGAATATTCCAACCACAACTCCTGCACAGCCATCTCACCCACCAAGACAAGTGGGGTGAGATGCTGCCACTAATCTCTGCGCTTAACCAGCTGTCTGGTTAATCTTACCCAGCTTAACCAGCTGTCCTTTCTGGAGGATATGGGATAAACATATTTCTTCTGAGTTTAAAAATAATCAAATTCAGGAAAAATATTCTCAAGGGAAACAGGGAATGGGTGAGTTCTGGCTAAAATGCTACAGAACTGACTCAGAATGGTCTTGGTGGGGTGGGAGGGGGAAGCCTGGTCCCATGAGCAAGGGGGAGGGGATGACAAGAGTGATAGGGAGGGGACTGGACCGTGGAATCAGGCTTAGATACTAGAAACAGAAGTGTGAGAAAAGTAGGAGGGGGCAGGAGGTGCTAGGAGTTATGAGGGCAAGCCTGGTGGAAAGGGTAAGTGGAAGAAGTATCCTAGGTAAAAGGAGTCTCCCCTCTATTTTGTGAGGGCATATTCCTGAGTATCATCACCTGGGCACTCTCCCTATGTAACACTGGCCTGGTCTAGGCAGCCAGAATTTAAGTCCAGTGAAGGTTAAGACTAAAACAGAAAGGGCAAATTTAGAGATCACACAGGGCTTTTTTTTTTTTAATTCTTTTTATTTATTTGCAGCAGTACTGGGATACCCCATCAGGCCCACCACTAACTCACCCATACTCACAAAGGCCTCTTTCACATAATCCGGTTGGAGAAGAATTAGAGAGGGCTGGGGCAACCTGCACTATGCAAGAAGCACAGGCTTTTACAGTTCTGGGCAGTATGGATGTGGTTGCCCAACACAATGGCAAAGCCTGCCCGTTTATCTTTGGAGAGATAAAATCAGCAACCTGACAGAATTCTGGCAGAAGCAATTAGCTCATGCATTAGTTATCAAATAGCTCATGCAGCCAAGGTCTTGGGAGTGCTGATCTGCAAACTTTCCCGGGGAACTTTAGGACAAAAGGGTCAGTCACCTGCTTTAATTTGCATTCAGTATTTTGGCCAATCTGTCCTTCTCCACACCAGCCCTGCAGGCATGCTCAGCGCTGCCTAGACCGTCATCCCTAGACCTAGACATGGTCAGCCACCCTCACCGACTATGCCTGATGACCCTCCACCTCTAAAAGAGCATCTCCACCATTCTTTCTCTCATTCCCTCATTCCCTCTTCTGCAGACATACTGGCCTCCTTGCAATCTCCAGAGCAGAATGCCTATGGATGCTGCCTCAGGGTGTTCTTGCCCATCCCCCTGTTTAAGATGCTCTTTCCTTATGTCAGCATCGCTGGCTCCCTCACTTTCTTCAGATCTCTGCTTAAATGTCATCTTATTATGAGGGAGATGTCCTCTCTCCCTCTTGCTGCCTGCACTCTGGGAACGCCCTTATTTCTCTCTCTAGCATGCGTTACTGACATACAGTCGATAGATCTGCTGGCTTGCTTGCTGTCTGACTCTCTGCATTAGAAAATAGTGCTTCCCCTGATTATTTCCCTGGTTGAATGAAGGATCTGCAGCCTCAATTTCAAACAAAATCAACAAAGATCTAAAATCTCTTTCAAGCTGCCCCTGCCTCTATGCTTATGAAATAAAGGCAATTCTACCTTCAGAACAGTTTATTCATCAACTATTTCTTGTCTTCAGATCCATTCAGCTGCCAAGTTCTACGGGCTCCCCTGTGAAATTCCTTCTCTCCTTCCTCCCTCCCTTTCACCAACACTTGTTTGTTGAACACTTCCTAGATATCATCCATTATCCCTTATATTATTCTCATTTAACTCTTCTCACTACCGTCCCTCTCAGTGGAACCTCACTAACTCCCATCTGGCCAAAGGTGAAACTTTCTACCCACCATCACGGCCTCCTTTTTCTTTCTTTCAATTTATCTTATTAGATACTAAATGAATTTCATTTCCCTTCCCTGTTCAAAACTCTGTAGTGATTCCTCATTGCCCAGTGAATTAAACAGAGATTACTTATTCCAGCTCTGAAGAAACTCCGTAAAATCTCAATCTACCCAAAAGCCCCATTTATCATTTTCAGAATATATGCTGTAGCCAACTGCCACATGCTGTTCCCATCTCTACAAATAACACAATTTCCGTATGCTTAAACTGTCTTCCAAGGGGACTCAAATGTCACTGTTTTGTACTTCCCCACCTCAAATAACCTTTTCTACTTTTGAATTCTGTGACATCAGGTTACACATAATTTTAAAAACACTTGCCATAACTTCCCTAAGTTATGGTTATCTACAGAGCTTCCTTATCCCACCAAGAAAGAATTTTTGAGGCTGAGGACTGTAATTTTATATCTCATTCATCTTTTTCTTTCCCCAGCAAGAACTAAACCAGAATCTTGCTGAACACACATGCTCACTAGCTATTTGTTGCATTGAATTTTAAGCACAGTATATCACACCCTGCCGGGTGCTCAAAGACTTAAGAAGAATAGGGTACAGTGCTTGCCCTAAAGGAACTGACAACCTAGTTATGGAGACAGGGTTGCTTACATAAAATTCTAATTTTTTAACTTAATTTTCAGCAAGTAACTACTGATTATCTATTGTGTGCTCAGTATAATATGATACAGTATATAATCATCAAAAATGAGTGGTGTGGAAAATAAATATTGCTAACGGTAGATTCTGGGTATACCTACATGCATGACAAAGTTGCCCTCAACACTTAACAGACCCCGTCAGTTGGTTTGATGGAGCAAGAGGTGCTAGGCTTACCTGGAGATGCTGCATGCTCCAGGTGGCCCAGCTCGGGCTGTCTGGTGATCCTGAAGGTCAATTCTTCAGGTTCCCTCTCTTGGTCCATGGCAGAGAGCTGCAGAGTAGTGATTTTCTTCACTGAGTCTTCATCTACAAACAGTCCTTTATTGGTGATGATGACAGGTGGGGATTTGTCTTCTGAAAATATCAAAATAGTGATTTTTTAAAAAAGACTTATTTATGCATACCGAACTGGGGTACAGGCCAGAGATGCAGGGGTATGAGAGGCTTCACAGAGACAGACTGGGAGAACAGAACAGGTAGACAGACGAAGGACACTGCAGAGAGGAACAAGGGGTGAGACGGGAGAAGTCTGCTGTGCCATGTGGCCAGGGATTAAATTCATGCCGAAGCAGCCTTGGTTAGCTTCATAGTGCTGCGCTCTAACCTGTTACAAGGCTCTGAAAACAGTGGTTTCTACCTCCTTCCTTTAATTCTAGAGGTGAAATTAGAATAAACCTTAGGCATATCCTGCAGAAAGGTGCCAAGCAGACAACTTCACATAAGGAGATGATTTCAGATTTCTACCCAGCAGGGTAAAGGGAAGGGCTCAAGCCTCAAGAAGAACACAGTGTAGAATACTTAACCTGCAGAAACCCAAAGTCCCTTACCCAAGACATTGATGGAAAATGACTGGTCAATCAATTTGTTGCCTTCTCCATCTACCACATCAAATCTAAGAGCAAAGCTCCCCCCAGATTCTCCTCTTCTGTGACTGTATTCTACGTGGCCTATAAAAAGAACAATAAAAATTAAAATTCAATATTAATGTTTTCCCCCATGTTTCTGAAGCTGAATAGTATTCTCATGAATGTATTAACTATGACTTTCCTCCCTTGACATTAATTTTGACTTAATCTAAAGTTTTCATTCCCTTCCCTTCCCACTATTAATTTTCTCCTAATCAAAGACCCTGTCACAATAAAATCATCCAGAGTAGCACTGTTTATGGTTGAGGCTCAGCTTTGTAAAAGACTGTGAGGAAGCCTCGTGAATAACTAGATCAGCAGAATTACCCATGTGTGAAATGTACATGACCGCTCCCACATCTTGGGGTGACCCTGTTATGCATCCTTATCACGGGAACAGGACACAGTGCTGCAGAGCTCCCTGTTTCAATAGAACATCATTTTGGGAACACAGGATACAATCAACCCACAAATAAATAGATAAACAAAACGAACTCTACACAGAAGTCAAAGCGCCTAGAGGCAGAAGTACAATATATGCGTTTTTGTTAATTACAATCTCACATCTAAGTACCTATCAATGTAAATATAACCAAACATCTGGGAAGAAGTACCTGGGCTCATTTATTCAAAAGAGATACTGAGGTGAGGAATAATTAAGGAATTACTATTCATCCCCTCCCTAAACTACAGGCAGGTCCACTGAGAATTTAGCTGCTACCAGTTTTCTGCTTCATGGGTATATTTTTAGCCATAAATGGAAGGTACATCATGACTGTGCACTACTCTCTCACACTGCCCCACCCCAATGTGTAACTCTTTTTCTCTTTTTTTACCTCCGAAAGTATCGTCCAGTAACTAGATAGCATTTAACATTTATGCTTTTACGTTACATCAGCGTTTCCTGGAGGAGGGATGAACTATGTAATCCCCCCCACTCCTCCTCCCCAGCAGCTCCGATTTATGCCCTTCCATTTTGCTTAGGTCATTAACTCGTGCTCTTTGGGGAGCTGAAAAGATATATAAATTGTTCACCAAAGGCAGGCACAATTTTCACCTTAATCCATCTGAATTCATTTCTTTTTCATTCCTTTCTTTCTCTCACACTTTTTAGCATCACAGCCAGTCAAAATGACTCCCCCTTCCCCCCGCAATGGTTCTAAATTTCATCAAGTGCTATGTCAAAATATGAATACAATTTAACCAAGAAAGATAGTCTTTTTAAAACAAAAAATTTGAAGAGACATGAAATAATAAATGAAGCTCTAACACTGTGATTATTCCAAACCAAGAGTTCACTGTTTACTGCCATAGGCTATGAGGCATTTAACTGCATTTTGCCTCTGTGGGTGGAGTCTAGGCAATCTGAGCAGAGAATGGGCTGACCTTGGCTAATGTCAGCCTGGGTGAAACTTCGGATGGGCCCTTTAACAGATATTGGCTCCAGGGAGTTTTGCTTCACCAACTGCAGGCGCCCTGCGCCCGGATCTTCCTTCACAACGTATATCACCTGACGGTCATCCGAGTCTGTATCTGTCACTTTCAAGTGCTGTTCTGTGATTCGTGCGACAGACCCTGGAAGAGAATGGGAGAGAGCAGGTCATTCCCTTCTTTTCTTTTGAATAGGATGTCAAACGATTTCAGGATAATAGAGACTACATTTTCACTTTCCCTGGTCTCAGTGAGTACCAACTGCTTGCCTTTCCAGTTTCCAGTTGAGTAAACTTTGAATTCTCTAAGTGAAATAGCTCCAGCTTCCCAATTTGCTAATCATCCCTTGAGTTCATCTCTGAGCTCTTTTTCTTTTCTGAGCCATGCGCATACTCTCTATGGCCACTCCCCTCCATGACAACCCAGACCCCTCTAGGAACACTTAGTGTTAGGATCTAAGAAATGTACAAATCCATGCTGGACCTAATTAATTTTCTGTTTTGAGGATCACCAAATCATAAAAAGTAGCTGTATGTCAACTCATACATCTACCTTGCTGCCATCTCAGATAGAGCAGTCACAAACAGTTCCTTGAGACAGGGGCTATGGTGAGGCTTTCAGAGCTGGGGGGACTGAGCACTTCATGCCGTAAGGCTGCACACCGAGTAAAGATGGAGGCATGGCACTGGCTGCTGGCCAATACATCTTCTCAAGACCTTGCCTCTTGCTTTCCTTGCTAGTCATTTTCTCATGTCATTTGCATATTCAATTGAAAAATAACAAATTCTGACAAAGTAGATGCCAGTCATTTGTGTGTAATACCCCCTGGCATGGGAGTGGCAACCCACCCTGCCCTGAGCTTCATCCTTGCATGTTCTTGCCAAGTAATGTCAACAAAGTAAGAGATTCCTGTTCCTTACCCAGGTCACTCTCAGCTAACAACCTTGAGGGAGGAGGTGAAGTTTTCCTCTGGGACAAAGACCACATCTGCTTATCACTTAGGACAAAATGGACAGTTCCCAAGTTCAGTGTTCCCCTTCTGTGGCATAACTCATGTCTGTGAAGGCTCCCTTTGGGCCCTCTGATCACCCCCATGAGCCTCGAGGGCAAAAGGAACCCACACATTTGCTGCTGCCAATGTAGACTGCTTTGCTGTGAGTAACAGAGAGCTCTGTCTGTGGAGAGGAATTCCATGTGCTCTACCAGCACCCATGAAACAGTAACAGTTGAGTTTATTAGCTTGGAAATTGGGTGTTGTCAATAACAAGCCCCAATACCTGGGATCCACTAACATGGACTCCAGCACTGCTAGCTGTCACGAGCACTGCAGCATTGCTTATGCCCAAGCAAAATGGGGAATATTCGACCCTAGAACACCATAGCTAGTGATCTCAATGACTGGCATAATCTCTTCCAGTGCATGATAATGTCCAACTGCTTTTTATTTATTTTCTACAACTGCTTTTTAAATTTTTAAAAAAATTCACACCATGTCCTGTTTGTATGACATCTTAGCGAGGTTGCCACGGCAGTTGCTGCTCCCAGAGCATCATGAAAGTAAGAAGAAAGATGCCAGAAAATTGTCCAGAAAAGACAAAGACCCAGGCTACACATGTAAAGGCAAAGCCAAAAAGAAGTGGTCCAAAAGCAAGTTTCAGGGCAAGCTCAATAAATATGGAAAGCTCTGTAAGGAAGTCTGTAACCATAAGCCGACTGCCCCAGTTGTTGGGTCTGAGAAAAGGAAGGTCTCTGGTTCCCTGGTCTCAGTACCGCCTTAGGAAAGGCCTTACTAACCTGCTTTTAAAGCAGAGCTCTCAAGTAATTTACACCAGAAAGACCAAGAGTGGAGAAACTCCAGCTCCTGGTAAGAATTTATGAACAGGTCTCACCAATTGTACGTTCTGAAAAATAAACTTTATTCAATGATAAAATTACCATCTTGAAAATCCTGCTCAATTTCATTCACTATTGTTTTCTATGGAGTTGTTTTGGTGGTGGAAATGCTCTAGAAACCCTGGGTTTACAAATAGTTTGGATAAATTAAGTGTTTTTAAGACCTTGGAAATACTATAGATATTTCTCAAACTTTCTTAAATTCACAGATAGGCTCGTTTGACCCAAAGCATTTCAGTAACTCACATTTGTCACTTATAATTCTTAGTTGCCCTAAAAACAGTAGCTCTCCCTAATTTCAGTTCCTCCAGTTTCAGCACAACTGGTATAAGATCTTCTCATAGAGCTCACATAGAAGTTAGTACTACACACTGACAGAGAATAGAGGAAGACAGAAGGGTCAGTTACTTTTCCACTCCTGTGGTACCTGCAGAGATCTGTAGGCCTCGGTTTACAGTCAAGTGGGGAGTGTCACCTGGAGGCAGCTCTATGAACACCTCCATCCTCGCTGTGTCTGTGTGGAGGCCGTCGGTGAGGGAGAACCAGAACTCATCCACTGCCAAACCAGGACTGCCAGGTACATACCCTACCAGCCCAGCCAACACATCTTGGTAGGTGAAGGAGGAGCCCTGGGCCAAAATCCTCCCATTTTCCAGAGGCTCAGAAGCAGTTTGCCTCAAGAGCAGATGACCTGAAGAGGTAAAGAAAAACAACAACAACAGAAACAATGGTACGATAAATATGACACCAAAACATTGTCTAAGTTTGTCAACTAGTAAGAGCCTGTGCCGAGTGTCAAGGGTTTCAGAGGCTCTTGGGGACACACACAGATGTGATCAACAAGTCAGCATTTTATATACAAGCACAGGGTGCTTCCCGATAGCTTCATCTACAAAGAAAGAAGTCCCACTTCTCCTGGTTAAAAATCTTTTAAGCAGACGAAGATGGATGTGGCCAGATAGTGGCTTAGAATGCAAATCTGCCTCTGTGAACTCAAACTTACTTCATTATCTAAAAGTGAAGAGAACACTTTATACTTGCTGCCTTCCTCCCAGGGTATCTGGGGTGGGCGGCCGGACTATGCTTTAAATTCCTCTTCCATTCTGGAACACTAAGCATCTCTGGGTTGAAGCACAGTTTTCTATGTTCAAGGTCACGTGTGCCGCATGGATCAGTTAGTGTGTCAATAAACAAAGTGCAAGAGCGGAGGGGAGTGAGGCATGTACACACAGGGAGGTGCAATGTTGTACTCCCAGAAATACATAATTATGGAAATCACTGGTGAATCAGTAACATTTGAGAAAAGAAAAAAATAAAAGCAAGAGAGTAAATACAATGACCAGCAGCCTCTTCTATGAACCTCTATCAGCAGCAACAATTTCATCCTCAAAAGACCAACGGGTAATTACAATGGCCAGAGGTACCACCTGGGAGATGAACATTCCAGAACTTTCATACCAGGGAGATAGCATGTAGAAAAGAATAGGTAGATTGTCATGGTGGCGTTTTTTTCTTTTAAAATTAATTTATTATTATTTGTTTAATATAATAGTTTATTTTTACATTTCGTGCATTTTTCCATCTTAGTTGTAATCTCCTGGGGCTTCCCATCACCAAATCACCCATGTGCCATCACCATAGACCAGTGCATTTCCCTCCCCCTGCTGTTTTTGATCCATTCCCCACTCCACCCCCACAAAATGTCTCTGGTATATAGCTGTTCATCATTATCATTATTTTCTCGCCTGTTCTGTAATATTCCTGCTATGAGAGAAACCATCCGGTATTTTTCCTTTTCTTTCTGGTTTATTTCACTAAGCATGAACTTTTCCATTTCCATCCATGTTGTTTTCTTTTTTTAAAACCTCTGGTTTAATCAGGAAAAGTACTTTCTTTGCAAAAGAAGCAAGCTCATAAAGATATCTAGTACACATTTAACCTGAGGTGAACCTATTTTGCAATTAATAACAAGGTTGCTACACTCATGTGCGGCATGGCCCAGGATTATCAAGCAGTGAGGCCTGTTTTGAGAATACACAACTCTGAAACCTGTTTTGCCTGAAGTTACCCAGGAAAGCAAGAAAACAGCAGAAATGGAATTTTAGACACCAATTACCTAGATTTCAGACTTTGAGAGCAAGCAGTGTCTACTGTGACCTCAAATAATATTAGCAAGCTATGCATTTGATTATACTTTGAGGCAAGGCATGTACTATACCCAGGCAAGGCAGAGGAATAATCAGCTGAAATCTGTGTTTATTCTAATAACCCAGAGGCCACCTCAATTAAGAAGCTTTCTATAGCAGCTGTGTCCTACCGTGGGAAGGCTTTTTGGTCAATACAAAAATCAGCTCATTATCTGGTGTGTCCAGGTCCTGCAGGCTCAAAGAAGAATTGCTTAGTATTACTCCTGAGCTTAGCTGCACTCTGAGGGGCTTCAAGGTCATGCTGGGAGCCTCATCGTTCTGCCTCTGTTTAAAGCAAAAAATAATAGATCTCACACAGATATTGGATTAAGAAGAAAGAAAATGTACAGACAAAGCAACAATGCTACATCATCGAAATAGTATTTAGTAAGTCGTCATTTTTCATTCCTAATCAAAACCGTTACTATGAAATGAGATCAAGTCACACAAACAAAATGTCTTCTTGAAAAGGAGTAGAGAAGCATTCTACAGAGACCTCAGCTATCTTCCAGAGGTACAGTGGTCCTATTTTTCTGAGTAAAGATATGGACATGAAGTTAGACAAACACAAATATATTCCTGGAATAAAAGAACATACTATTTGAAATCCGAACTTTCTTAGCATACTCTACAGACACCTGAAGAACTCCAAAGTGGGAGCTCCAAAGTCTGTGCCCCAAGCCCCTTCACCACAATCCCTAGAGGGTGCTGAGGATACCATGCCTGATATTTTCCCAAGGCAGAGGGCATTCCATTCTGGGCTGTATCTTTTTTCTCTTTTTGTTCCTGAGGTAGTAGAAAAGGCCTATGAAGCTCCACAAATGAGAATAACTATAGCATCACGGAACATGTCCTATGATGCTATTTTTTTAAAAAAATTATAGATATATTATTGTTCATTTATGTACAATATTTGATTTCTTCTCTCAGATTCAATCCCCATAAAATTCCCACCACCAAATAACCTGTAAACCATCACCATGGTCTCTTGTGCTCTTCCCTCCTCCTTCTTTCCCTCCCCAGCTGAATGTTTCTGATTTATAGTTTGCCTCCTAGTTATGTCTTTTTTTCCCGATTCTTTGTCTGGTTCCCCTATATTCCTCTTATTAGTGAAACCATCCAATATATTTTTTTTTTATCTTTCTGATTTATTTCACTGAGCGTACTTCCTTCCAGCTCCCTTCCACATTACTGTTAATAGCATGAGTTTATCTGTGTTGATTGCTGAATAGTATCCAATGTGTATATATATCACTTTTTTTTTTTAATTTATTTGCGCATACAGAACTGGGGTACAGGCCAGAGGTACAGCGGTGGTGAGAGGATTCACCAGAGACAGAGCGGGGAGCAGAACAGGCCGAATGATGAAGTACACTGCTGAGGGGAAGCAGTGGGCGGGTCAGAGAGGTCTGCGGCGCCATGTGGGTCACCTCCAGGGTGGTGATCAAAGTCATGCTGAAGTGGCTTTAGCTTCTTAGTGCTCTGCTTTAACCCACTGCACCACCAGGGAGCGTCCCTGATGTTAGTTTTTAATGAACAAATATTTTTAAAATATAAGGCAGGGCCTCCCTTGTAGCCCAGAGGTTAAATCTTAGTGCTATAACTGCCATAGCCTGAGTGCCATCTCCAGCAAGGGAGCTGACCCACATATGGTGTAGCAGGTCTCTCCCTTCTTGTCGGCTTGTTCCTTCTGTCGTGTATTTCAGTGGATCCACCTGTTCTGCTCTCTACTCTGTCTCTGATGAATCCTCTCACCCCAGACTTCTTCTTCAGAAAAATAAGTAAATAATAAAAATATTAAAAAAAACCACAAAACTTAAATAATAATAAAAAAATAAGGAAAGAATACAAACGAAACTACTTATAATCATTTCAAAGAAAAATAAACATAGGTTAATTTTCATTTAAATATGAGGTTTCTTTGCTTGAAGCTCACAAATTGTTTTCACACAGAAGGAATAAATTTTACCCTGAGATGGAATTTCAGATTTTTAAGGCAGATCATCCTCATATGTCAGTCTTAATTCTCTAAATTTCTCAAAGGTGAAGTTTATATTTTTAAATTGACCTCTACAATAGAAGGTCAAATCCAGTCTGAATTCATATAAACCTCTCGAATGGTGACAGATGGCAGTCAAAGGCCCAATTTTTCAAACTCCCAAAGTCTTTACCTCAATGGTGATATTGATGCTGTGGATTTCGGAACGACTGTTTCCATCACTTACATAAAAACTGAAAATATCATGGGTTGGCTCAATGCTTTCATGAACACTCTGAAAGTAGTAAATGTAGTTTTCCAGAACATCTTGAATAGGGAAGGATGCTTCTCGGTCACTGAGAATTCCAGGCCCAAAACGATCACCTGCAGTGACATCATCAGAGAACTTTACCATGATTTATCAACTCCTGCTTACTAGGCAGAACTAGAGAACATGACAGTATTATATCAACAAAAGATGAAAATATGTTTGAGGATCAAAGTGAGAAAGTGGAACAAGAACAAAACCATGGACCAGAAGACGTAGGGACAGAATCCCAGTTTCCCCACCATTTTTCAACTATGCATTGACACACCTGCCCTGCTATTTCCATAGACAATGAAATGAGGTAATATGCATCAAAGCACACAGCATAATATTGTTTTATATAGCATAGAATCAGTGGTTATTTTGTTAGAAATGCTTGTTAACTTCAGTTTTAGGACAAGCAAAATACAAAATACAGAAGCAAAAGTTCTCCTTTAAGTTTCAGTCAACTTTAAAACCATATTCTGGAAGAAGAACCCTTTGCCTCTACATAAAAAAGTTTTAGTATACAATACACCTATTTATTTAAGAAACTGGTATTTCCTTAAACATGTTTTCATTTTCCCTCTTAGTTCCTTAAGAACATTTCTGCATGGTCAGATGGTGCATCTGGGCCACTTGGGTGCAGGTGCTGTTCAGGTACTGAGTTGCTCAAGTGCCATTTAGAGGTGCTTGCCCTGGTTAATGCCTCTCATCCAAGCCCACACATTAGAAGGCCAAAGGGAAGGGTAAGCAACGTCAAAATGATGGATAAATGATGGATAACTTGGCTCTTACTTGGTTCTAATCCCACTGATTGATTTTAAATTGCTACCATGCCTTTCTTCTAAAAAGAGAAAAGAGAAACTCCTGTGTCTTCAAAAATACTCTGGATGGTTATCAGTAAAACTGAAAAAAGTGGGTCTAAAAGTAACAGGTCTTTCTCTTTCTCTTCTGTGGTTGTTTGCAAAGATCAGGCCAAAAGTAAAATGACCAGATACTTCCTGGGTGGTAGGTAGTATTGTTTTATCTGATCTTCCAACAGAAAGATTAGGAGTAAAATTTTTATCTATAATTTGTTTGAAATAAAAACTCAAGACAAGTATTCTCTAGCTCAATATCATGCATTTCTTAAATTTTACTCCTCAGGCTTCATTCTTCTTGACAACAGAAATACAGTGGTCGAAGTTACTAGATAATTTCCAGAATATATACTTCAGGGTTTCCAAAAGGAATTGCTGTAATCACTTCTAATTTTTATTTTCTCTTTCTATTGATCACAATAAATAAGAGAAATATGACTTCTTTGAGTCAGAAAGAGTGTAAGTACATGATGCTTAAAATTATACTCACAGATAATAATGCCATCTTTCCTGCCATTTGAAAATAAGCTATTCAACAAATTAGTCTGCCACTGATCCTTCCCCATTTTATAACTATACTTTCTATTTTCATTAATGTGCTTTCCCCCCCTTTTAAATAGAATATGCTATGTACAAACTAAACAGGTTTTGGTGCTTATAGGCTATCATTCAGAACATCTCTTACTGCATTGGGCTGGAACTCAGTGATGCCTTAGAGGGGGCTCCTAACCTGTTTGTGTTGCTACATTTCACACCTAACAATATAACTTATCCTGCTTTTTCCTTATTGCTGGCAAGAAGTTAAACATTTAAAAGGTTTTGGAAAGATGTTCTCTGATATCCTGGATTTTGAGTCTAGGTAGCTAGTTTTATATACACAAACAGTTCAGAACAGAGACTAAAGAACTTCTATGATGGAGCAAGAGGGGAGAGACTTAGTCAATGTGCTTTTTAAAAATCTCACAACTATCTGTGTCTGCTGAGTGTCTTTTTCTTATTTCTGGTTCACATGAGTGCTGTAGAGTGCTGTTTTTCCAGATGTGATCCTTGGACTGACAGTAACGACCAGTGAAAAATACAACTAAACAGGTCTCCCCAACCTCCTCAAGCAGGAACTATGGGGTGCTGCGCAGAGAAGTGTCTTCACAAGCTTAGAGGTCAATCTTATGCATATGTAGAATTTGAGAACCACTTTTTAAAGAGACTATGGTCTGTCAGAAAATTTGACGTCTGGACCAGCCAGAAGGGAGAAGAAACTGAGAATGTGAAGGTAGAAGACCTCCATCCACGAAAATAGCCTCACTGGTTTTATTTAGTTCAATCCTGATGATGAGCCAGACCACTCCTGGTGATTTCAAAAATGGCCAACTTTGAACCTCTATATGCACTCGTGGTTAGCATAGGTCCATGCTAGCATGGCTTACTAAGAAAATACACAGAGAGTAGAGGAGGCCACGCGAAACAACTCATGATGTCCTGTCTTTGCCCAGAAACTACCACAAATCCTTTAAGTTCCAACTCAAATGTCCACTTCCTCAGACTTCCCTGCTTTCCTGGGCAAAAGGGTTTTGTCCTATGTAGTTTCCCTGTCTTGGAATTTTATTAACTATAATTCATCAGTCTTGGTATCTGTCTCCCATTCCAAGCAGGGGTAGTGTCATATTCACCTTTACATCCAATGTGTCCAACATAAACATTTGTTGAGACAAACAGAATTTAGCAATAAACACATCAACATACACACTGACTAATGAGAGGAGGGAAAGACCGACATTTTTTGACAAGGAAACATGACCAGTGCTAAACAAGTTTCCTGTAATGGGGCCTAAATCCCAGGCACCATGCTGGCCACAGACACTGTCAGTCACTGGACTCTTGGTGGGAGGTGGGAGCCGCATGCCAATGATAACACGCACTGGCACTTGGAAATCTCGCCGCAGAGACACTGCCAGGAACTGTCTCAACTGCCAGTCACTGTGATCTCAGGGGGCCTGTGGACGACACACACCTTCTCTCTTCTCTTTCTCTGTGATAACCACCATGGGCAGCGGGTCCAGGCAGATGGTGAAGGGGGAGGGATGTCAAGGAGAGGGTCACAGACAAGCGTGCATTTCAATTCATGTCATATCCTGAGAGGAGCTGAGACACAAGCTGTGCTTCAGCTAGACTGCAGCTGCCTCCCAGTGAAAGGATGGGCATTCTCGTCGCCTTGGCACTCCATCCCCTTACCCAGTCTTATTTTTTTCCTCATAGCAATGACTTACCTTCTAACAGCTTACATAAGTTTCTCATTGATCAGGTTTCTTACCTGTCTCTCCCAACCAGGCTCAAAAGCACAAGGCAGTAGAGGGTTCTGTTGACTGTCAACTCCCTAATACTTAAAAAATGGTTTGCTAAGCAGAAAATGCTTAGCAAATTTGAGTTCAGTGAATGTAACTTCCCTCCTTCCATTGCTTTGACATGGTTTTACTACTGGAGAATTTTCCATCTCCAGGTTGAATTTAAGGCAGTTACCTTCGCCCCTCTCCCTACATTTCTGTTTGGAATAATTCTCACAAAGCTGCTGTGGGTACCTGTGCCCGTGTTCTCGATGCAGCCGTATCTGGGCAGAGCACTGAGTTTAATGACAGCATCTTCCCGAAGGTTGTCATGATCCTCAGCAGCAAAGAAGTGGTGAAATGAGAGGGGGGCTCTCCCTCCCTCATCAACCTGAGAAAGAAAAGAATGGAGAGCGTCCTTGGGCGGTTGCGCATAACTGCAGTAAAAATAACTGAATTGAAAAGTGCTGCCTGGGTGACCTCCCTGCACCAATTCTACTTCTTTGAGGAGACAGATCCTCTCTGGATGGAATGAGGAATGTGCAGGCTGCTGAAACCAGGCAATTTTTCAGCACCTCTCAGAGCTACACTCAGATTCGGTAACTCCCTTCAAAGTTGTGCTTCCTTCAATGATGGATCAGGTTATAAAGCAGCTCTGCCCCATTCTAATCATCCTCCCTGGCTCAGTTGCTGACAGCATGGCTGCCTTCCCTCAGAATCAACATTCAGAAGCCTGCAACTAGTCGCTGATCCATCCGGTTCTTTCTCCATCCTGGCAGGACTGCTCTGTCCTACAGTGTTCTCATTTATGCCTCTTGAGTACATATTTATAGGTGTGCAGGAAGAAAGGACTCATGATACCTGAAAGCTACTGCTTATCTGAATGTCAAGACAGAAAATAAATCAGCGTAAGTGAAAGCAGTTATTCCAACCAACTTTTCCCCTGAAAGCCCTGCTTGGTGCGCTCACTCCGCACCCTGAGCTTGGTGTTTCCTGCATGCCTGCTGGGCGTGACCGAGCAACTGCACTCTGAACAGTTCTTGCTAAAAGTAGGAAGGTCCATAATACAAGTTACAATGTGGGAGCTTTTCTTGTTACTGGAAATGGAGGAGGTCTAAGTAGCTTCCCCAAGAAGTGGAAATGAGAATATTAGCACTATTTAAAAACAAATCAGCTTGAAGAATTTTCAGTTGCTTAAAAAACCAGACAACTGAGCTTTTGGCAGTTTGATGTGTATATAGGCAGGAAAAGGGGTGAATTAACTTTTATGGATTCTCCACCATATACAAGCATTGCAATGGGGAAGTGAGGGTTATGCTATCTTATTAATTATCAGGTGTGTAATACCTATGTAACAGTTATGGTTATATTTTAAGGCTGAGGACACTGAGGCTAAGAAAGATTACCTAAGCGATCCAAGGTCACTCAGCTAGTAAGGGCAGAGTCAGAACTTGAACTCGGGTCTAGGCAACTTCAATGATCTGGATTTATTATGTATCCCCACCCTCCTTGTTCCATGGAACTGTCAACATTCAGAGGATGCAGTCAATTTAATGTAAGGACTGAGTTGGGGATAACATCCAGTTCTTCATGTTTTTGTTGCTACAATATTAGATTATAAATTCTTCAAAAATATATATATTCCATTTCTAATTTACTCCCAGTACTATGTTTAGCATGTACACAAAGCACACATTTAGCATTTAAGTTTAGCATATACATAATATAATCAAGCTACATACTGATACAATGATTTATCCCCTGCATGTAATTATTGACATAATTTTTGTAACACTCCTGGTTGAAAACCATGATACTTCCCCCTAGATATTTTGGGGGAAGAATTTGGGAGTCAACTTAGATAGAAACTCTTTATTTACTTGGTCATAGATTGCAACTCTCGACAGCACTCACTGTTGATTGATCTTAGAACTGTTTACCGTGATAAGATCAGCAAAACCAATGACTGGAGGTGGATTCTTAGCCGGGGTGATCATGATGGTGAACATCTGATTGTCCAGATGGTTATGGTCCATATCAGAGACAGAGAACTGGAAGTTATCAGTGACTAGGTGGCCATCAGTCTCAAACACGGCTGAGTACCTATGAAAGCCAAAAGAAGAATCAAATGTATGAGCTTTCACATACAAGCCACAAAGATAGCAGCACCTTTGTTTTGAAAGGGGGCCAGAAACAATATGTTCTTCCCAAGGAGCGACTGGTTAGTTGCTTAGATATTTTTTTCTTTTTGTTAAATATTTTAATATGATTTTTAAAAATGCTGTCAATAATACAAAGTGGTTACATACTGAATTTTCTTCTTGTTGATATCTTCCATTGTAAAATTGGAAACGTCTGAGAGTTCTTCCACCTCGGATCCTGTAGCTCTCAAGAGAGTACCATACATGGGCAGAGAACTTAACCGAATCCATATCTCTGGGTCAGGGGAAGAATCATCCTAATCAGGCAAATATGAGAAAGAATCTGAATGCATATGTGCAAAAATAGTATTTCTAGTAATTCAAGATCAAGGGGGCATTCTTCCCTGCTAATTGAAATCTCTTTTCCTGTGCAATAAAGGAACAGCCTTTCAAACAACATGAAAATTCCTGTACTTATTTCTCCTAAAATGCCTTTTTTGATAATGTCTGCTCTCAAAAGCAGCTCAAGATGAGTGGGGAAGTGTATTTTAGGTACGTGGCATAAAACAAAGAGATGCCCTAGCAACACTTTACAGGCCAGAGATTTTGTTTTGATTATAAGCACTGAGTGAATAAAACATGGCCAGCTATCTGAATCATCTTTCTATGAACACAAATGTAGGCATCTTGGTCAATTTCTAAGGATGGTTTGCTCTTTAGAAACAGGTGAAATTTCATTCTAATATAAAATACAATGATAACGATGGAATTAAAAAATGGAAGTTTTTTTTGTTGTTGCTGACTTACGTCAAGTGATCTGTGACATAACATTTTAGTTTAAAAGAAGAATTTAGGAAATCTTACCATTTTCATTCCATCAGCACTGGACCTATGGGTGCTGAATTCTTAGTATGTCCAGTTTTAGCAAAGACCACTTCCCTTTCCTTCTGCATTATTTGCTAAAAAACATGGTAGGTTTTCTAGGAGCTCTAGCTCCCACTGACTCACATGATCATGAGGGCAAACAACTGATCTCTACAGACTGTGTATCTAGGTGGACATAATAATTGAATAGCTTAATGAGGCAGTTCTTTTTTCTCCAAGGGTATTCTTTAAATACACAAGAGGTAGGCAACATCATGTTTCAGATTTCCCCTTAGACATTCACTTTTTGGTGTAGATGGGGGTGCAGCAATGAAAAAAATGTTGTGACACGAAAATTATGTTTGTACTTTCAGATGCAAATTATCACAGCTTGCTGAATAGACAGGAACAGCATATGAAATGTAAACACCTTTTAGCCTTGTGGCTTGGGGGCAGCAGGTTTTAATCAGTTAACATTTCTATCCCCTGGGCTCTTTTTAAGTTGTTCCTTCTGAGTCTCAATATGGATTCTCCATATTTCCTAATGTCATTTAGCTAGGAAGGAAAACAACTCAAATTCACAGAAGCTGAAGAACTTCAGAAAATTTCCCCTAAAATATACTTTAAAATTTTCTCTATTTTTTTCCAGATGGGTTAGCAAATGCAATATGAAAAGGCTTCAGAATGATTTCTTCCTAATATGATGAGGAGCGGTCTCTTTGAGAGAATTTAAATAGCTAGCTGAGAGTTCAAAGGTATTGTCTTCTGAGATGGTGATATTCTTCAAGGATAGAGCTCCTGGTTTTGGATTAGACTAGATAGCTTGTCAATTCCACACTGCCAATGAAATTTGCCAATGAAATGCTATTTCTAGACAGGCACATCTTATTATAATGGTTTAAATCTCAAATGACAATTGGATTTGGAAAAGGGTGAAAACAAACTTTCCCCCCTGAAAATGCTAACATAATTGAAAAATATTCTTATTTGGGATAGCCAAGATATAGTGAGTGAGTGCACAAAAAGGCCTAAGAATTGAAACCTTGTTCTCAAGTAACTTTACTACTGAAAGACCTCCTTACCCCTTTTGAATGAATTAATAATATATTAATAATGTATATACCCTGAACTCACTGCCCAATAAGAGTACAGAGATTTGATAATTCATGTTTACCTATGTGCTTCTTTAGTTTACACCTGGAAATTACTCTGGAATGTTTTTCTCAGGTCCTTGAATTTCTTAACAAAGTTTGTATTTTAATACAAAATTTATACACATATACACAAATCATAATACACACATTTATATATGTATGTCAGTTCTTTTTTAAAGTTATGAAAAAGGAGTTAGATTCTACTCCTATAGGTTTTATTTACTTATTTTTTTAACTCATTAGTAGATTACTAAGATACATCTGTATTGTGTGTAGCCATCGGTCATTCATTTGTAGTGTTCTGGAATATCCCACAGACTAAGTGTGTCACAAATTATCTACTAGTCTGTTGATGGGCTTTGGACACACTTCAATATTTTTGTTATTACAAATAGATGGAAAACATAGCATGTTAATATTGTGGGGCATATCGTTTGGTGTACATGCAAAATTTCTCTTAGGTAGGAATCTAGGAGTAGAAAGATGAAGACATATGAATAGTTATCCTTATAAGACAATATCAAAGTCTTGCCCAAAGTGGTTGTTCTAATTAGCAAATTGTCTCCTGTAGATCAATTTACTCTCCAAAACGTGATCTCTTCATATAATGATTCTGTCAAAAGAAAACAGCAGACAGTCCCCAATTTGTGATGGTTTGACTTACTCTTTCCTGACTTCATCATGGTGTGGAAATGATATGCATTGAGTAGAAGCTGTACTTCAAATTTTAATCTTTTCCTGGCTAATAATATTCAGCACCACACTCTGTCAGTTGGTGGGTATTGGCAGCAAATCATAGCCCCTAGTCAGTCACGTAAACATGGCAGTAAAGGAACAAGTCTCTGAAGACTGTTTTCTACTTTCCACACATTACTCAACAAATTACACACACTACTCAACACTTTATTATAAAATAAACTTTGTGCTAAATGATTTTGCCCAACTGCAGGCTAATTAAATGTTCTGAGCACATTTAAGGTAGCTAGGCTAAGTTACCATGTTTCATAGGTTATAAGTATTAAATGCATTTCAATTTACATGGGTTTACCCCAACCCAAGTGTAAGTTGAGGAAGACTGCAACTTTAGTTTGCTTTTCCTGATGACTAAGAAGGTGAATTATTTTCTCATATAAATTTTTCTTAAATTTATTGCTCTATGGATTCATTTTCTAAAGTTCCTTCAAATGTCTTGCTCATTTTTCTGGAGGATTACTTTTTTCTTCTTGATCTGCAGAGTTCTTCATGTTTTCATTATTTTTGGTTACCTATATTGCAATTTTCTCCCCCAATTTGTAACTAGATAATCTTCTGGATATATGTTGTATCTTGGAGAAGATACATTTAATTTTCATATAATCAAATTTATGTATTTTTTATCATTAGCACTTTTTGTTTCTCATTTAAGAAATTCTTCCTATTCCCAATATTATTGAAATACTCACCAATATCCTAGACAGCATTATAAATTTTTACTTATGGCTTATTAAGTAATTAAAGTACTTCATTTGTTGGAAGTAAATATTTGTGAAAGTTATGAGGTAATGGTACATTACAGTTCCATGTGTGGGTCTATTTCTGGACTCTCTAGTATGTCTCTGTCCTGTGCTTTTTAACGAGAGATTTATTAAAAAAAAAATTGATAGCCCTGCCCAACTATCATTCTTTTTTAGAATTTGGACCTTTGTTCTTTATTATATATTGTCAAATATATCAAAACCCATAAAATGTTCATTGGTGTTTTGTTTACAACTTAACTGAGGAGAAAGATCACTTTGAGGAAGAACTGATATTTTTTAAACACTAAATTTTCCTATTCATGAATATGGCATATCTTGTCACTTATTGTCTTTTCTTTCTCTTTTTGAAAAAAGATTTGTTTTTGTTTATGCATTCAAGAACCGGGGTACAGGCCAGAGGTGTTGGGGATGAGAGGGTTCATCAAAAACTGAGTGGGGAACAGAACAGGCAGATCTACTGAAATATACTTCTGAGGGGAGCAGCAAGAAAGACAGGAGAGGTCTTCTGTGTCATGTGGGCCAGCTCCCTGCCAGGGCATCAAACTCATGCCTCAGTGGCTGATAATAGCTTCATGGTGTAGAGACTTGAACCTTGAGCCATCAGGGAGGCCCCATTTATTGCATTCTTTTAAAAATGTGTCAATTAAGTACTATAATTTTCTCTATTGAAGTATTGCCTTATTTTTTATTACATATAGAATGAATGGACATGATTTTTGTAATGCTATTACAAGTGGAATCAGTTTTGTAGTTACACTTAACTGTCTATTTTTGATTATGTAGAGTAATGCTATTTATTGTTTGTTGATCACTGGCTCCTTGTTAAATTTGTCTTCCATCTCCAATAATCTTTTTAGATTTTCTTAAGGTTCAGTCTAATATCAAATTTCCCTACAAGTTACACAAGTTTTGTTATATTTATTAACATTTTAAATTGATATTTTATTTATTTTAAAGATTTATTTATTTATACATACAAGAACTGGGTACAGGCTAGAGGTGCAGGTGGGTGAGAGGATTCATCAGAGCCAGAGTGGGGAGCAGAACAGGCTGACTGACTGAAATACACTGCTGAGGGGAAACAGCAGGCGGGTCAGGAGAGGTCTGCCACGCCATGTGGCTGCAGATAGCCTCATAGTGTTATGCTTTAATGTGTGCACCACCAAGGAGGGCCTTAAATTGATGTTTTAAATTGGTATTTTAAATTTATGTAATTTTGGCTGGTATATAGAAAACATTATCAGCTCCTTGAGATGAATCTTTTATCATCCTCCCCAAGTTACAGAGAAAAAATACTAGATGAACTGAGTTGAAGTAATTTACAAAAGGTTACTATGTTGATAAATGGTGAGCTTGGATTAAAACCCATCCATTCCAACCACAAAATCCTTATCATCCCTACCCTACTTGTTTACACTGGCTGTGGATGCCAAACTGCACCTAGTAAACTATCATCAAGAAGTACATTTCGGGCCCTCCCTGGTGGCGCAGCAGGTTAAAGCACAGCACTAAGAAGCTTAAGCCACTTCCGCATGAGTTCGATCCCTGCCTGCCCCGGAGGAGATCCACATGGTGTGGCAGACCTCTCCTGACCCGCCCGCTGCTCCCCTCAGCAGTGTACTTCGTCGATCTGCCTGTTCTGCTCCCCACTCTGTCTCTGGTGAATCCTCTCACCCTCCGCATCTCTGGCCTGTACCCCAGTTCTATGTGAATAAATAAATAAGTCTTTAAAAAAAAAAAAAGAAGTACATTTCATGGAATCCATTTTTGCCTTTTATTTCTCCCAATATGATACCACTTCTGTGTGGTTAATAAACCTAATGGAGAACAGGCTCACCAGCCCCTATCATTTTATATTCTGCTCCATTTCAGATGACTTTTTCAACTTTTCTGGGTGTTCACTGCAAATTCACTAAGTGGGAAAGTCTGAAAATTTTTCCCCATGAAACTAAGTACAAATTCCTTCTACAATCCTCAAAGAAAGTTAGTATATAAGAGAGGTAAGTCTTTAAATATGCTACATGTTTAAAAGGCAAGAATAGTTCTTTTGGAGTCTTTCTGCTCCAGTGAGTAAATTCACATTCAATCAATTTTTGAAAATACCTGTTCAGTTGCCAATGGGCTTGCATTTTGATATGCAGCTTATAATATGCAGTTAATGGACAGGAACTGCTCTGGGAGTGCTATTTTGGCCTGTCAAACATTTTTCAAGCCTTGGTGATCTATTGATTAAATCTGTATTCATACATTTTTATGAATTCATGAGTTTCGTAAGATTCAAAAGACCATAACCTATGGTAAAAATCACCTGTCAATTAATAAAACAAAACCAGAGCTGTTCTGAAACTATACTAGACCCATGAGTAGAATCAGGATGGAGTAGAGTTCCCCATAATTTAAGAAAAGACAATTTGAGGGGAAAAAAAATCTGTGCTAAAGCAATTGAAGCAATTGTTCCCAGACCAATGCTTTATCTTATATGCTACTATTCAGAACTAGATTTTATAGCCAGATTCTTTTGCCCAGAAAAGCACTACTTAAAACCACATAATGTTTTGAAAAAAGGCCAGATCATTGGCTGGAATGTTAAAGTTAATAAAGGAAAAATGTGATTCCTCCAAATAATCATTCCTATTTTAAAACATTTGTTAAAACTATTCATTACCACATTTATAGAGTTCAACATCTGTTTCAAACATATATAAAAAATAAAATTAATTATCCTCATTATCCTTAACTTCAAAAGCAGAATCAAAGGAAGATGAGTTTAATTAACCAGGACAATTTAACAAGCTAAGGCCAGATGGGAAAAATAACAACAAACAAACCCAGAATCCTTGATTCTACCTTTGCTCCCTTAAACCACAGCTTCTCTTGGAGAGGACAGAGGACGAGTCAGTAATCTTGCCTAGGAAATCTGGCAGGGAGGTGCTGCTGAAGTGGATGCAGCATTCTGCCCAGAGCTGGACCTGAGACAAAAGCTGTTAAAAGGTGGGCTTTCTCTCAGTGGGCCATGAAATACCATTATATTAGTCATTAATCAGTAAGTTCTTTACAATGCTTTTTCCCTAAAATCCCCATTCAAAATATAATGGATGGAGCTTAAAAAGTGAAGAGTTGGGCTTTTCTGACATGGGCATAGCATGTCATCGACAATACCCATCCCTTTACAAGTTCATCACGTTTCAACAAAATTTGCTCACTGACTGGTCTTTTCTTGAATTACTGGGAGGAGCCAGAACAAAGAATGTAATTACTCCTAAGAGTAGAGCTATAGGCAAGTTGAGAGAAAAAGTTCTTTACATGGCTATATACCTGACACTTGAAATATTCAGCCATGACATTGACATTGCTTTCTAGTCAGCCCTGGCAGAGGGTGCTATGGGAAATAAGAGGTCAGAGTGAGGACTTACAACGTAAGCCAGGTGTGACCTTGTGATTACAGCAGTACTTTTACTGGGGACAGAAATGCTCAGAGAGGCGCCTCTGGCCAGCTGAGGCCCTGGATTCTCTGACAGCAACACCGTCACTCCCACTTCCACCGTTGTCACTGAGAAGCCATCTGTAACCGAGATCTCCATGCTGTCTTCCTGGGTAGCAGAGCCATCATGTAGATACTGAAGGGCATTTTTCTCAATATCTGCATATGTGAAAGTGTCACCTTTCAAAATAACACAAATTGCAAAACCAAATTACTTCTGTGAATAATGGTTTCTGTCACATAACATCTTTGTTCTCAGGATTTCAGAGTATGTACAGAATCATAAACTCGGAGTTAGAAGCTGATTAGTCCAACCATCCACCCAAGATAGGACTCCCTTTACAACATCCTTGAAAAAGGGTAGTTCTGCTTAATTCTAAAGGTAGCTAATTTTGTTGGAAATAATTCTAATTATCTTTAAAGTTATTAATCATATTGACCCTAAATCTGCCTTGTCCGAGATCTACTCATCACTCTTAGTTCTGGAGAAAGAAAGAAGTCTCTTCTTTTCAGCAATCCTCTTGCAATTTAATGTGGATAATGAAAGTTTTTGAAAAAGTTAAAAAATAAACTATACAGAGTTTTAATTGGGAGTGTGAGGATTTTTTTAAAATTATATACTTAAAGTTAGAAAGCCAAATTGTATAAGTTTAGAATACTAATTCATGATCAGTTTGACAGGTGTGTGAGATAGTTTCAAGGTCAGACAAGTTAGGGCAAGTCAGAATTAAAAATAAAAAAATTTAAACTGAAGAAGTTAGAATTTTAGATTCTTTAATATATAATATTAATGTTTGTTTAGTCATGGAATCTTTTTTTATGAGAAATGCCACTCAATGCCTTGGTCCCAATGATTTCACAGAGCACAGATGAAGATTTTTCTTCTTACATCACATATTGAACTCTATTTCTAGACAGATATTTGATTCTAATAACTGATGTTATATTACTTGAGACTTAAATACTTATTTTCTGTATTCATCTCCTAAGCCTTCTCTTTCTACACTGTATTGCGATTTATAGGTACTATCGGGATTATATCTTGAAAAGTAGTACAATCAGTATTTTACAAATATTTTTGTCTCATGTTAATTACAAAAATATAGATTAAGTATAAAGCTAAGAAAAGTAGGATATGATTTATATACTTCTACAATAGTTTTTTTATGACACTTATTTTTTAGGTAATTTTTTTTTTTTTGAATTCTGCCTTGTGATTCCCAAGTGCTTATTTGTACAAATTTGATCTACCTTCATGGAGATCAAATTAGTACAAATTTGATCTACCTTCATGGAGAAAAGAATTCTCCCCTCCCTTTGCAAGAATATTCAGAAGAATCATTATCAGACATGTATTAGGCTTTATGTAAAGGTTTTGAGAAAGTATGTATTGTGGGAATAAGTATATCCCAAGGTGATGACTTTGAAGGAGACAATATTCACTGTGCTATATAAGGGCAGACTATTAAAAATTTAGATTTACTGGTATTGTTTGTGCTTTTCTGTACTTTCTAGCCAATCAAAGCATATTATTCTTTATAAGTGGAGAAAGTACAGTGAATATTATTTTGGAAATTGGGTTATATTACTACACCATTACATTGCAAATATGCTACTTAAAATTGGTTTACTTTTTTAATGGATAAAATAACACATATTCACACTATAAGAGTTGTAGCACTGAAAATATAATTAAAACTCACACACCAAATTCAGCAAGGCAATTTTACTCTATCAACTAACCACAGGATTGTGGCAGTTGCTGTTAAATACATTTATTCCAAGCTCCAGAAATCAACCCATTTTACTTACAGCTTGAGAAAAACAGCTTGGGGTGTGAGTATTGGCCCAGAAAAAGAAGTTCCAAATAGCTCAGCCAATGAACTCAGTATGAAATTTTTTTTCTTTCCTAGGGCATCCCCTCACAGTTTGTCCCTCAAAGGTACTTCTCGTCTTGAGGCACATAACACTGACTGTGGAACAAAAAGTACCCCAAGCAGAACCAACAGCTACCTGCAGCCAGGGACCCTTGAAAGTCAGCTGAGGACTTCAGCAGCATACCATGCTGCGGAGGTTTGCGAAGCTCAAAGAAGAGTTCTTCAGAGGCTGTGTCCGTATCTCTTACTATCAACTGAAGTCCTGCATCCCGGAGAATCAAGCACAGTGAGAAGATGTCCACATGAAAAACTTTAAAGTCTATATAGTTTAAAGCCACAGGTCAGGCTGGAAGCCACCAGTGGGAAATATGATGGTTATATGAAAGCCCTGTTTAATTCCAATTAACTCTTAAGAGTGAAAGCCACTAACGTGGTCAATTTTTGAATTACAAGTAGACTCTTCCAAAAGTTAATTTATAAGTAGGTAGTTCTTAATTCAGAAAGCTTTTCTTCTTTCATACAAATGAAGACAGATAGGTCAGTCCTGACCTGCTAGGGTAGACTTTCTTTCAGAAGAAGTTTTTCCTTTATATTTTCTCTTACTTTCTTTTTCTGAATCCACAGAAGTGCCAAGTTATTTTAAGAATGGCTGTTCTGGCCATCACATATGTAAGAAGGAGTGGGGGAATGACTTGTTTATTAGTATGTATGGCAGTTAGTTTTAGGTCAACAACCCTATGTAAAAATTGGACAAGTCTGTTAGAGAACATGCCTAACGAAAATCATTGCATTTATTGTTTGCTCTAAAAATATCTTTGATAAAAGCAACAACTTGCAAAAAGTAAATGTGTTAATGGGGTAAATAAAATCATATATGAAATAACTTGGCCAACTCTTAAGTTTTCAGAACTTCTGAAGGTCATTGTGATCTGTCATTTTCCTGTTACTTTATTTTCTAAATAGAAAACAAGAGAAGTCATTGAAATTTGCGCTCCTCTACTCTTTTCTCTGCTGTTATTTTATATTTTAGTGATGGCAACAAATCAAACTTCTTGCGACTGGAAAATAAATTCTGTGTTGTATTCTATCACTGAGCATTGGCCTCTGAAGGGTTTATTTCCCTTTCTCTGTGCTGCTTCTATTTGCATGGAAATGGGCAAGAAGAAGGATATAGATGAGAATACATGCAACTTCTGGAAGAGGAGGTCACTGCTTTTTTGTAAACATCAAAAGGTTTGAACAGGGACCTTTGCTGAAATATGGTTCCATATACAAAGCCATGTTTCTTTCAGGATCCCAGTTCTTACCTACGGAAGTGCTGCCTCCTGGGCTGACCTCAAGCATTGGAGCTGTGACCTGGAACACTGGCAGGTGCTGTTCGATGGGAAGTAAGTGAATGGTGAGGGCCATTTCTGGACTTGTGTGTTCCCCATCCGAAACTAAAAAGGAAAATGCACATACATTGATACATACGCACAAGTCAACTTGGAGTCTGGTCATCTATAAATGCATTGCCAGAAGTTTTTTAGCTATCTTAACACTTTGAAGAGACGGTTACAGATGGAAAAAAGAAGCAAGCAAGGAAGTTCAGTGAGCTATTCTCATAAAGCTTTTTTCTGCCAGGTAACAAAAAGGCTACAGGACTATCACAACAAAATACTAAGAAACAAGCTTCAGAATAAAGTGCTATTAATAAATGTTAGTGCAGAGGACAGTAACACAAAATACACATTCTTAGATGATGCTGATAAAGGCTTTTATTTAAGAATGTTTTTTTTTTATTAAATGCATTCTCCCAACATGCCAAGGAAATATGTTCTTTCTAGAAATCTCCTTTGAATGTATCTATTTCCTTGGATACATATTTTTAAAAGGACAGAAAATATTCAAACACATGTCTCTAATGGCACCTTTCTGTAAGCAGACCCATTTTTACCTAGTCATTATACACTGTGCAGTAAATGGAAGACATTTTTGTGAACAAAACTATGACCTTAAGGTTTTATTTCCCTGGATTATCTGATATCTAAATCATCACCTAAGGAAAATGAAAGCCAGAAGTTTTTTTAAGATTATTTTAAAACTTTGAAGAGATGGTTACTAATGGGAAAAAGAAGCAATCAAGCAAGTTGCCAGTTACTTGGCAGTAGAGGGTTACTGGCACCACCAACACCATCACTATGTTTATCCACAGTGGCTATAGAGGAACTGTGCAGGGACTATTTTAAATGTTATGATATGCTTGCATTCTGGTTGGTAAGAAGAAACTGGTTTTCTTCTGGACTTAATAACAAGTCTTTAGGAATCTGC